TTTTCTCCACATCCTCGACAACACCTGTTGTTTCTTTTGTTTTTTATTTCAGCCATCTGACAGGTATGAGGTGATAACTCCTTGGGGTTTTGATTTGCATTTCCTTGATACTTAGTGATGTTGAGCTACAGTCTTTATTTTAACATCTAATTTGTCTGATATTGCTACCCAGGGTTTTTTTTTTTTTTTTTGCTTCCATTTGCATGGAATATCTTTGTCTATCCCTTCACTTTCAGCCTATATGTGTCTTGAGGTCTGCAGTGAGTCTCTTGTAGGCAGCATATAGATGGGTCATTTTTTTTTAAAGATTTTATTTATTTATTTGACAGAGAGAGAAACACAGCGAGAGAGGGAACACAAGCAGGGGCAGAGGGAGAGGGAGAAGCAGGCTTCCCACAGAGCAGGGAGCCTGATGTGGGGCTCGATCCCAGGACTCTGGGATCATGACCTGAGCCGAAGGCAGACGCTTAACGACTGAGCCACTCAGGCGCCCCGGGTCATTTTTTTTTTTTAATCAATTCAGTCACCCTGTCTTTTTTTTCACCATATGTGTTTTGATTGGAGCATTTACTTCATTTACATTTAGAGTAATTGTTTGATATGTATGCTTTTTTGCTCATTGTTTTTATAGTTGTCTTTTCTTTTTATTCTTGCTCTGTTCCCTTGATGTTTTATGACTTTCTTTAGTATTATGCTTAGATTCCCTTGTCTTTATTGTGTATCTATTACACGTTTTTGGTTTGTGATTACCATGATGTTCATTTATAACTTTCTATGTATGTAGCAATGTGTATTAAGTTGATGGTCACTTAAGTTTGAACACATTCCAAAAGCACTACATTTGTACCCCCCCTTGCATGTTTTATGTGAATGATGTCATATTTTGTTTTTATTTTGTGTGTTCCTTGACTAAGTTTTTAGATATAATTGATTTTACTACTTTTATTTTTTTTATCCTTCATACTACCTAAAGAAATGATGGAACTCATATTTTTACTGTGTGTTTGCTTTTACCAGTGAAATTTTTCCTTTCAAAATTTTCTTACTTCTAGTTATGGCCTTGTGTTTTCTCCTTAAATATGTCCATTTAACATTTCTTGTATAGTTGGTTTAGTGGTGATGAACTGTTTCAAGTTTTGTTTGTTTGTGAGATTCTTTCTTTCTCCTTTAATTCTGAAACCTTGCCAGTAGAGTGTTTTTGGTGGTAGATTTTTTCCTTTCAGCACTTTGAATATATCATGCCATTCTCTGTTGGCCTGCTGTTTTTGCTGAAAATTAGCTGGTAGCCTTATTGTTTTTACCTTGCACATAACTGCTTTTCTCTTGTGGCTTTGAGATGCTCTCTCTATCTTTAATTTTTGACATTTTAATAATTGTGTTTCTTGGTGTGGACCATCTTGATTTCATCTTGTTTGGGACTGTCTATGCCTCCTGAACCTTGATGTCTCTTTCCTTCCCCAGATTAAGGGAAGTTTTCAGGTATTATTTCTTCAAGTTAGTTTTCTGCCTTTCCCTCTTTTCCCTTTCTGGGACCCCCATTATGCAAATGTTATTATGCTTGATGTTGTCACAAAGGTATCTTAACCTATTCTCATTTTTTTGAAAGATTTTATTTATTTATTTGACAGAGAGAAAGAGCAGGAGAGCACAAGCAGGGGAAGTAGCAGAGGGAGAGGAAGAAGCAGGCCCCTGGCCGAGCAGGGAGCCTGATGCAGGGCCTGATCCCAGGACCCTGGGATCACGACTCAAGCCAAAGGCAGATGCCTAACCAACTGAGCCACCCAGCCTCCCTAGCCTATTCTCATTTTTAAAAATTGTTTTGTTTTTTTTTTTTTTTGCTGCTCCACATGGTTGCTTTCTATTACCCAGTCTTCCAGCTTGCTGATCCATTCTTCTGCGTCCTCTAATTTGCTTATTCCCTCTATAGTATATTTTTCACTTCAGTTATTGCATTCTTTAGCCCTGATTGGTTCTTTTATATATTTTCTATCTCTTTTTTATATTTCTCACTGAGTTCATCCATGTTCTCTCAAGTCCAGTGAGTGTCTTTACGACCATTACTTTGAACTCTTTGTCAGGTAGATTGCTTATCTTTGTTTCATTTAGGTCTTTTTCTGTGATTTTTTTTTAATATTCTTTCTTTCAGAACATATTCTTCTGTCCTCTCATTTTGTCTTACTCTTTGTGTTTGTTTCTATGTATTAAAAAAGTCAGCTATCTATGTCTCCTGCTCTTGGAAGTACTGGCCTTATGTGGAAGACATCTTGTGATGCCCTTTAGTGTAATCCCTCCTGGTCACCAGAATCAGTATACTCCAGAGCTGTCCCTGGTGTGGGCTTCATGCACCTTCTTGTTGTGGCTGAGCCACATTGCTGCATTTGGGCTGGGGGGGTCGGGCTGGCCCTCAGCTTGGTTGGTTGCAATTTTTGTACTCTTACTTTTATAAACATTCAGTTCTCTCCCACACTGCAAGGCTTTCTAAGGTAAGCTTTTTTGTTGAGGGGGAGAGTAACCCACCTCAGGCTTTGGAGTGTGGATCATTTGGTGCTGAAGACTTGGGGCCCAGCAGACAAAGACAGAACTTTCGTGGTTTTTTTTAAAGATTTTATTTATTTATTTATTTGACAGAGAGAGACATAGTGAGAGAGGGAACACAAGCAGGGGGAGTGGGAGAGGGAGAAGCAGGCTTCCCGCTGAGCAGAGAGCCCGATGTGGGGCTCCATCCCAGGACCCCGGGATCATTACCTGAGCCGAAGGCAGATGCTTAACGACTGAACCACCCAGGCGTCCCTCTTACTTGTTTTTCTTCTGTTAATCTGTGTTATGTCAATTTAATTATTGGAGTAGCTGAAAAACCTAGAAGGGGAGAAGGGAAATTTTTCTGCCCTTACAGTACTTATCCAAAAACATGTTTGTTTTAAATCTGTAATTCAGATTTAACTCAGGTCGTGGATTTCATTTTTTCTTTTTAAAAATCTGTTATGGAAGTACAGTTGACATACAATGTTATATTAGTTTCAGGTGTACAATGTAGTGATTCAACAATTCTATACATTATTCATTGGTCACTTTGATAAGTGTTGTCACCATTTGTCACCATATGTTATTACAGTATTATTGACTATATTCCCTATGCTGTACTTTTCATCCCTGTGACTGATTTATTTTATGTATTTTGACCATTCCCCCACCTTCCCCTCTAGCAACCACCAATTTGTTCTCTGTATTTATGAATTTATTCCTTTTGTTTGTTCATTTGTTTTTTTATATTCCACATATAATGAAATCACATGGTATTTGTCTTTCTATGTGACTTATTTCACTTAACATAATGTTACCCTCTAGGTCCATCCATGTCATTGTAAATGTCAAGATTTCATTCTTTCTAATGCCTGAGTACTATTCCATTGTATATATATATGCCACATCTTTTTTTTTTAAGATTTTATTTATTTGTTTGAGAGAGAGAGAATGAGAGATAGAGAGCACGAGAGGGAAGAGGGTCAGAGGGAGAAGCAGACTCCCTGCTGAGCAGGGAGCCCGATGCGGGACTCGATCCCAGGACTCCAGGATCATGACCTGAGCCGAAGGCAGTTGCTTAACCAACTGAGCCACCCAGGCGCCCTATACACCACATCTTAATCCATTTATATATGGATGGGCAATTGGGTTGTTTCCATATCTTGGTTATTACAAATAGTGCTGCAAAACACATGGGGGTACATATATCTTTTCTAGTTAGTGTTTTTGTTTCTTTGGGTAAATACCTACTAGCGGAATTATTGGATCATATGCTATTTGTATTTTTAATTTTTTGAGGAATCTCCATACTGTTTTTCACAGTGGTTGCATCAATTTACATTTCCATGAACAAAACATGAGGATTTCCTTTTCTCCACATCCTCACAAACACTTGTTATTTCTTGCCTTTTTGATATTAGTTGGGCTATATATTTCTGTTTGTTTGATCTTGTAAATACAAGGACTCAAAATTTGCCACCCCAAAATGCATCTTTGGCATGTGAATTATAGTGTGATTATTTTTTTTAAGATTTTATTTATTTATTTGACAGAGAGAGTGAGAGAGAGAGCATGCATGCACACAACCAGGGGGAGTGGCAGAGGGAGAGAGAGAAGCAGGCTACCCCACTGAGCAGGGAGCCCAATGCGGGGCTTGATCCCAGGACCCTGGGATTATGACCTGAGCCGAAGGCAGACGCTTACCCGACTGAGCCACCCAGGTGCCCTAGTCTGATTATTTCTATGAAATATAAAGCTCAGGAAGAATCTTTGATCTTCTTTTTAACTGCCTAAAGGAATTTAGGTAGAAGACCTGCTCCAAGAGAGGGATGTCACCATAGGTAACTACAGTATAATATGAACTAAGTTTGATAGACAGGGAGGAATTTGCCAAGGCCTGTTTGTTTAAAGTCCTCTCGTGTCCATTTGTTTCTGTATGGCCCAGCAACCATTTCTTTCACAAGGATTTACTCTTTTTCTTTTTTTAAAGATTTTATTTATTTATTTGACAGAGAGAGACACAGCGAGAGAGGGAACACAAGCAGGGGGAGTGGGAGAGGGAGAAGCAGGCTTCCCGCTGAGCAGGGAGCCCGATGTGGGGCTCGATCCCAGGACCCTGGGATCATGACCTGAGCCGAAGGCAGACGCTTAACGACTGAGCCCCCAGGCTCCCTAGGATTTACTCTTTTTCATCTCCTGTGAATTGCTTTCTTTTCCTTTGAAATTACTAACCCATACCTCTTTCTCCTTAGTCCAGAATGAAATATATACTTCATTTTACCTGACTGTGTTTGGAAACTCTGTTTATGTGGATTCCTTGTAGGTACATAGTTTTGATTTTCTTCTGTTAATCTGTCTCATGTTAGTTTAATCCTTTGACCAGCCAGAAGAATCTTGAAGAATGGAGGAAATTTTTACTCCCCAACAGTTGTTGGGGATGACCGGATAAATTTTAACTGGTTGGACATTGCTCTCCCTAGGGCTGCTGCAGCTGTGAGGTTCTGGGACTTCTGACAAGTTGGCATAAGTTATCAGTTCTTATGATGTTAATCTGCTGGGTCTTCGCCTGAAGGTATAACTGAATCAAGAGTGGTAAGCATCCTTTTCTTTATCTAAATATAGATTAGCAGGAAAAAATACTTGTGGAACTAGTTCCTTGGGTATATGGACTTTGGTAATATGTATTATTTGTTTTGGAAAGCAAATTAATATTCAGAGACTGAGTTTGTCTTTGATAATAATTTGTTTAGAAGAGGTTCACTGTGAGAATTTTACAAGCCAGTAGCGTACAAGATAATGTCTCTTCATAAGCCAATAAAGAAATAACATACTCTAAATTTATGATAGATTAGTCACGCTATCATTCTAGAAAAGGAGAAGTGAAAGGAATAAAGATCAAACTTAGCTGAGGTGTACCTTTTTAGGAGTTGGTACTCAGGAGAGACTGCTTAGCTAACTGAAAGGCGAGGCCCACCCACCAGTGAAAAAGTAAAGGTCCCCTGTTACTAGAGTGCTTTGCTAGGGATTAATGGCACCATTGTGTTGGGCAAGAGGATTTTTATCTCAAAGCTGCGGTACAGCTTTCACCACTCCTTGTAGAAGATTCACTTTTACCAGGAACAGGAGCTAATTGCCACCAGGTCTTCAGAGAGCTATTTTAGATCAGCAAAATGTTGCCTCTCCAAGACCAAACACTTGAATTGTCCTCGTAAATGTAGTATTTACTGTCAAAATGTCCTCTTGCCATACTTGCTTCCCTGTATTATGTTTTTATTGATATGCCCCTAGTGGAGCCCCCAGCAGCTGAGCTTTTGAGTTCTTAACAGTGAGAACAGGACAACATCCTAACACAAATTACTTCATTCTTTTTTTTTTTTTTAAGATTTTATTTATTTGACAGAGACACAGCGAAGAGAGGGAACACAAGCAGGGGGAGTGGGAGAGGGAGAAGCAGGCTTCCCACTGAGCAGGGAGCCCGATGCGGGGCTCGATCCCAGGACCCCGGGATCAGGACCTAAGCTGAAGGCAGATGCTTAACGACTGAGCCACCCAGGCGCCCCAAATTACTTCATTCTTATAGCAAAACAACTTTATTTCTAAAGACTTTGTCTTTATCGTAAACAAGTGGATTTGAAATCATATCATAACAATACACAACAATCCAATTTGTAATTTCAACTCACACACTACTTAATCCTAAGGGCCTAATGCCCTGTACAAAGCTAAGTTCACAAAAATGTCAATCCACCCTCTGATTCTACATCACTTACAAACTTAATCACATGCAGTCATTTTGGGGGGGCATTCTTCCTTTGTTGCACATTCTTTTACACCATTGTTTAATGACCAGTTTAAGCAACCATATTCCTAATATTCGTAGCAAAACCATAACAAAGACCTCCTTAATATGCTACCATATCCAATTGCCAAATGACAACAAATTAAGCTTTTTAACCCATTCAGTTAAACTTCCTTGAGAATTGTATTTCCATCTATAAGCCATGTTTTATTTTAAGATTTTATTTATGTATTTGAGAGAGGGAGAGTGCATGAGAGAGAGAACAAGCAGGGGGAGTGGCAGGCAGAGGTAGAAGCAAGCTCCCAGCCGAACAGGGAGCCTGACTAGGGGCTCGATCCCAGGACCCTGGGATCATGACCTGAGCCAAAGGTAGACACTTAACTGACTGAGCCACCCAGGCGCCCCTATAAGCCATTTTTATACGGTTCCAGGGGGTATAAGCACGTAAAGTACATTGTATATACAGTATCAGGCGCAGGTATGATTGCCATAATATCAGAATTCAAAGCTGTCATAACTTTGGGAATATAATTTTTTTGTCCTCTTTTCAATTCCTGCTGAGTTATTTTAACTTTATTAGTCTTATCTACCATGTTTGTTTATTTAAGTTTCCGTTGTATGATTTAAATTGACTAAATTTATTTTAAGAGTTTCAATGTGAAATATTTCTCTGGTTATTTTACTTTTTTATTTTATTAAAGTTTTTATTAAAGTTTTTATTTTAATTCCAGTTAACATACAGTGTTATATTAATTTCAGATGTACAGTATAATGATTCAACAATTACATACATTACCCAGTGGTCATCACGACCTGTGTATTCCTTAACCCCATCGCCTATTCCTCCATTCCTCCCTGCCCCCCACCTCCCCTCTGGTAGCCAGCAGTTTGTTCTTGATAGTTAAGGGTCTGTTTCCTGGTTTGTCTCTGTCTGTTTTTTTCCCCTTTGCTCATTTGTTTTGTTTCTTAAATTTCACATGACTGAAATCACATGGTAGTTGTCTTTCTCTGACTGTCTTATTTTGCTTAGTATTATACTCTCTAGCTCCAACCAAGATTTCATTCTTTTTATGGCTGAATAATATTGTGTTGTATATATATACCACATCTTCTTTATCCATTCATCAAACGATGGACATTTGGGTTGCTTCCATAATTTGGCTATTGTAGATAATGCTGCTATAAACACAGGGGTGCATGTATCCCTTTGAATTAGTGTTTTTGTATTTTTTGGGTAAATACCCAGTAGTGCAATTGCCGGGTCAGTAGGGCAGTTCTATTTTTAATTTTTGAGGAACCTTCATACTGTTTTCCACAGTGGCTACACAAGTTTGCATTCCCACCTGTGGTACCCAAGGGTTCCTTTTTCTCCACATCCTCCCCAATACCTGTTGTTTCTGGTGTTGTTGATTTTAGCCATTCTGATAGGTGTGAGGTGATATCTCACTGTACTTTTGATTTGCATTTCCCTAATGATGAGTGATGTCGAGTGTCTTTTCATGTGCTTGTTGACTGTCTGTATGTCCTTTTTGGAAAAAAATGTGCACGTCCTCTGCCCATTTTTTAATTGGATTATTTGTTTTTTGGGGTGTTAAGTTGTATCAGTTCTTTATATATTTTGGATACTAACCCTTTATTGGATACATCATTTGCAAATACCTTCTCCCATTCTGTAGGTTTTCTTCTGGTTTTCTTGATTGTCTCCTTCGCTGTAGAGAACCTTTTTATTTTGATGCAGTCCCAACAGTTTAGTTTTCCTTTTGTTTCCCTTGCCTCAAGGAACATACCTAGAAAAAAGGTGTTGTGGCTGATGTCAGAGACGTTACTGTCTATGTTCTCTTCTAGGATTTTTATGGTTTGAGGTCTCATGTTTATGTATTTAATCCATTTTGAATTTATTTTTGTGTATGGTATAAGACAGTGGTCCAGTTTCGTTCTTTTGCATGTTGCTGTCCAATTTTCCCAACACCATTTCATGAAGAGATTGTCTTTTTCCCATTGTATATTCGTGCTTACTTTGTCATAAATTAATTGATCATAAAAGTATGGGTTTATTTCTGGGTTTTCTATTCTGTTCCATTGATTTTGTGTCTGTTTTTGTGCCAGTACCATACTGTCTTGATGACTACAGCTTTGTAATATAATTTGAAATCTGGAATTGTGATGCCTCTAGCTTTGTTTTTTCTTTTTCTTCTTTTTGTTTTTCCTTTTTTTGGGGGGGGAGGGGGAAAAAGGAGGGGAGGGAGAGTGAGGCTCTTAAGCAGGTTCCATGCTCAGCAAGGAGCCCAAGGCAGGGCTCAATCTCACAGCCCTGAAATCATGACCTGAGCCAAAATCAAGAGCCAGACACTTAACTGACTGAGCCACCCAGGTGCCCCAAGATTTTACATTTTTTTTCTCAGTAGTCTCTACACCCAACATGGGGTTTGAACTCACACCCTGAGATCAGGAGTCACATGCTCTTCTGACTAAATCAGCCACGCACCCCTTTGCTTTGCTTTTTTAAGATTGCTTTGGCTAGGGGTGCCTGGGTGACTCAGTTGGTTAAGTGTCTGCCTTCACCTCAGGTCATGATTTCGATCGAGCCATGCTTCGGGCTCCCTGCTCAGTGGAGAGCCTGCTTCTCCCTCTGCCTCTGCCTCTCCCCCCTGCTTGTGCTCTCTCTCTGTCTGTCAAATAAATAAATAATCTTTAAAAAAAAAAAAGATTGCTTTGGCTGTCACAGTCTTTTGTGGTTCCATACAAATTTTAGGATTGTTTGTTCTAGTTTTGAAAAAAATGCTGTTGGTATTTTGATAGGGATTGCATTAAATGTGTGGATTGCTTTGGGTAGTATAGACTTTTTTTTAATTTAAATTCAATTAATTAACATATAATGTATATTATTAGTTTTAGAGGTAGAGTTCAGTGATTCATCAGTCTTACATACATCAGTATAGTGCTCATTATATCATGTGCCCTCCTTAAACATTTAAAAAAAAAGATTTTATTTATTTGAGAGAGGGAGAGCATAAGTGGGGGAGGGAGGGGCAGAGGAGAGGGAGAAGCAGACTCCTCACGGAGCAGGGAGACCAATGTGGGTCTCGATCCCAGGACCCCAGGATCATGACCTGAGCTGAATGCAGATGCTTAACCAAGCCAGGCACCCCTAAACATTTTCTTTTTTAAGTACACTCTATGCCCAACGTGGGGCTTTAACTCATGACCCCAAGATCAAGGGTCACATGCTCTATTGACTGAGCCCCCCAGGCACCCCCTAGTATAGACATTTTTTAAAAAAGATTTTATTTATTTAATTGACAGAGAGAGAGAGACAGCGAGAGAGGAACACAAGCAGGGGGAATGGGAGAGGGATAAGCAGGCTTCCCGCCGAGCAGGGAGCCCGATGCGGGGCTCGATCCCAGGACCCTGGGATCATGACCTGAGCCGAAGGCAGATGCTTAATGACTGAGCCACCCAGGCGCCCCTAGTATAGACATTTTAACAATATTTGTTCTTCCAATCCATGAGCATCGAATGTCTTTCCATTTCTTTGTTGTCTTGAATTTCTTTCATCAGTGTTGTATAGTTTTTAGAGTACAGGTCTTTCACCTCTTTGGTTAGGTTTATTACTAGGTGTCTTATTATTTTTGGTGCATTTGTAAATGGGATTGCTTTCTTAATTTCTCTTTCTGCTGCTTCATTATTGGTGTATTGAAATGCAACAGATTTCTGTACATTGATTTTGTATCCTGTGACTTTACTGAATTCATTTATCATTTCTAGCTGTTTCTTGGTGGAGTCTTTTGGGTTT